GAAAAAAAAAAAAAAAAAAAAAAAAAAAAAAAAAAAAAAGATAACAGTAACTGTAATAGATGCTGTGTGCTTGATGGGGGTCACTGCCCCATCCCCCAGCTGCTATGAGTTTTGGTTGAGTGGGAATTACAGCTTCCCCTCCAGAGAATTGCCCTGAGGCCATGGGAGTTCCCTTGTCTAGAAATGCCTGAAAAGTTTTGTAAAACCTCTGAAGCTGTCCAGGGTTACAAAAGCCCAGGTGTCTTTCATCAAGGTAGAACAACTCTTGGGGATCATTTCTACTAAAGAGCTCCCTGTTGGATCAGGCCCAGGCTGGATTTCAGCTAGAAATACACCCTACCTTCTTCCTCTGCCCCATCCTGCTTTTCTCGCTCCCTCAGAGGTTTCTCCTGAGTGTTTGCCTTCAATAAATCATGTGCACATGAATCCCCTTCTCAGGCTCTGCTTGTAGGGAACATAAGACGCTAAGCGTTTCATTGTCTGGTTAATTGCTTTGCAATAGGAATTTAAGATGTTTATATCATAACATTACATGTAAAGCTGCTTAGAGTCTTTAGATAAGATTTTGAAACTGTGAATTTTATATTATCAGTTATTGTCTCTAATTTTTAATGTACACAGTGACTTGAATTTGTTGTTGTTGTTGTTAGGTATTGAACTTATCCCTCAGGTGAGGATAGAAGATTTAAAGCAGATGAAGGTAAAAATTCTTGATCATTTTGCAACCTCTTTTGTATTATGCATATTGATGGAACCAATGTATTTTTGTTTCTGTAATCATTAAGACTACAAAAAACTTATTTTGGATCCTTTGTTTTTCTCCACAGGCTTACTTGAAGCATTTAAAGAAACAACAGAAGGAGCTAAATTCCTTAAAGAAGAAACATGCAAAGGTACGATGTTTTTGTGTAGTGTGTGTAATTGCATTTGCTCTTTTGTTTTTTACTTTTAGCTCTCGATATAAACCTAAAGTTACTATTTTGTGTTTTGTGCTGATGACTCATTCACAACCAAAACCCTACTTAGAAGCTAATACCAGCCAACTGGACAGCAGTACCTTCATTTTAACTGGTTAGTTATGAAAATAAAAAATAGAATCCATTTGGGATTGGCTGTCACTGATTTGCAGTCTGCATTTCTAACAATTATTTCAAAAGCATAATAAAGCTTCACCAATTTAACAGTTGTTTCACTAGTAATATGACTTTATATAAAATATTGGGCCGTAGACTGACTATTGAAGACCAGCTCACAATCTTCGCCACTGGTTACCTAAGTTCCGTGAGTCACTGTCAGATAGTTTGCCACACAGGGAGATGCTGGCAAGCTCTGAACTTCCCACCCATGGCACCTAGAGAAAGAATGCTTCTCCGTTTTCCCCCACTATGTAAATCCTGCCCAGTGGCCTACTTCTGAAATATATTTATTTTTCCTTTTTACCCATAACAAGTGGTCTTTTTTTTTGACAGTGATTGCAAGAAATTATAAGAGCTAGTTGCAAATTTTAGAGAATAATAGGAGATGGCCCCAGGAATTCTCCTGTCTGTTGAAAAACTCACAGCACTCAAAGAACGTCCTTCTTTCCAGTCTCCCTTCACAGGGAAAGGAGAAAAAGGTACAACCTCTTTCCTTCCTGAGATGTGTAACAACTGCTGCTACTGGAAGGATAGTGGTGTCTTCTATTAAGGGTAGTGAGAGCAAGAGAAACTTAATTTCTCAGTTTGAAAGGATGTCTGAGTTCTTTTAAACTAGTCTTGCATTCCCACTTCTTTATACTCTAACCCAAGCCTCAAACCAAGGCACATCCTGCACAGCTGGGCTTGGGCGATGTACCTTTGAATCACTACAGATATTAAGATGCAAAGAGCCTGCCTTGGAACCCTGTCATTTCTTTAACAGTTTGTGCTCCTTCGAGAAGCCGGGCCTAATCTTGCCCCAGTAGTGTTCCCTGTATTATTGACCTGATGGCTCAGTGGATTTGCTGGTACAGAGGTCACTTCAAAGACTGTTTGTTCCTAAGTTTCATGATTACATTCAGTGGAATTCCTTACGTTGCCTAATGGAGCTATTGGAGACAGAGCTATTTCATAGTAGGGATGTCAAGTTTGTTGGTTATTGGCAACAAGCTGGAATATGCAAAGGCAACAGAAAAAGAGATAGAAAAAGAAATAAGAGAAAATGCAATTTAAAAGACTTTAGTTATTAGGAATGAATTGGTGCCCATATGCCACGGCATTATCTATCAGATTTTCCTTGCTTTTAAATTGGATTTCTGTCATCGAGCAGACACCTCATTGGCCTTTGGGCTAGTTGGAAACATAAATTTTGGGGCCTCATGTAATATTTCCTTGAGGCGTGACCAGGAAATATATTGTGACTGATAACAACAAAAACAATAATAGCAGCTAGAATTTTTGCATGCTCAGTAATTTCCAGATGTTGTGCTCAGCGCTTTACATGTATTGTCTCATTTAGTGCTCTCTAATCTGTAAGGTAAATTCTTTTTCAGTCCCTACTTGAATGTGAGGAAATTAAGAGTTAGTGAGGTTAAGCAATTTAACTAATATCCCAGAGTTAGGGAGCAGCAGAGCTGATATTTGAACCCAAATCATCTGAGTCCAGACCCTGTACTCTTCTTACTGCGTTATTCTGTGTAGGATATTGGGTGATTCACTGAGTAAGCAAGTTCCCCTCACCGCATCAAATGCAGGGACAGCATATGGGACATTCAGGAAAACCTCCGTCTACTTTGGACGGTGTTGATACACTGATTACCTGGGCAGTTACTAAGGAAGGATGCTCCTAGGTTCTTTAGAATGTCACCTGCACCATACTGAGCAGAGCTGTCTGTTGATTTATTTGCTAAACCTTCAAGTCCAAAATGATTCAGGTCAGTTAACTTGCCGATCTGCTTAATCAGAAAAGCAGCAAAGATGGGAAATGATTATTCCATGAGACAGTTTAGAGATGGCTTTATCAGATCTTCCCTTCCAACTCAAGATGCCTTGTGTTTTATTCAGTTTTCTCTCTGGTTGGCAGAGAAATTTTCATATCATTTAATAACCAGTAAATCCCATACGGCCAAATAAATTGTTGGTTTCATTTGCAGAAAATAATCTTGAGTTTCTAGGAGCCCCCATGTTATAATAGCACCTAAAAGAAGATTTTTAAATCACCCTAAATCCCACTGTCTGAATTTGTGTGGACTTTCATAACAGTTTACGTGTGCATTTTTTGAAGGAAGTGTTAGCCTTCAAAATCTCTTAAGTCGAGTAAGGGAGCTAAAGTGCCACAGTACAATATGTAGCACTTACCTATTGCTTTTCGGGAGTATTTCTGAGCAGGGGACTGCATTTTACTGCTTGTTTTTCATATTCTCATGCACTTCAGAAGTTCAAGTCACAAGTATGTGATTGTAAGCTAAGGAGTGAATTCCTTCTCCCACATTGAATACACGGGAGACCAGCTTTTTTATTCGGCCTGCTTTGAGAATATAATTTATGAAACCTGAATTGTAGAGTCTTTTATATAAAACTACTACTGCTAATAAGGCTAACATTTATTTAGTGACACTTTTGTGTCACACATTTTATATACATTCTCAAATCCTCACAATATTCCTGAAACCTAAATAATACTCTCCAGAATTTAGATAATGAATAAAACAAAACTCAGAGAGGTGAGTCCCTTGCCTAGAGTAATGTAACTGATTAATGCTGGTTACAAGCCCTGTTTGCCTGCTCCTATCACAATATCCTTTACAGCTCACCACATTGCCTACTTTTATTTAAAAAAAAAAAAAAAGAAAAGAAAAGGAAGCTTGTTGTCTACTTTAATTGTTCAAGTGCTTTACAAATAATTTTGTAATAATTAGGCCTTTCTGTCTTGTAGATATTCTGTAATTTTTTAATCTATAATATTTCCCTGATATTAGCACACTTCAAAAAGTTTATGGGAAGATTTGTATTATCTTTTAATTCTACTTCTCCACAAATTTTTTGAAGTACTCTCATATTTTCCACTGTCTTATCTGAGCTAACTTCTAAAATGAGGAATATATATGAATATTTACTTGTCTAATATATGTCAACACCTGTTCTGCTAACATGCTTGTCTTTAAAACTGAAAAATGAAAAAGGTGAAGGAGATAGAAGGACGTGGTGAACCTGTTACCACTGTGCACATGTAGTGCCTGGTCTCCATTTGACCTTGTTTATCCTAACACTAATGTTTCTATCAACACCAATGGTAATGTAATGCTAGCTAATATATTTTGATGGTTAGCATTTATCCTTAGGTATTCTTGTAGCAATTATATAAAGGAGTGCTATAATTATACTAACATACATCAGTTAGCTTTTGCTGGGTAACAAACCACCCTGAAATGTAATGACTTAATACAACTGCCATTTATTTAGCTCACAATTTTGTAGGCCAGCAGTTTGGGCTGGATTCAGCTGGATTCACTCACACATCTGCTGTCACTGCCAGTTTGGCAGGTAGTGGACAGAAAGGGGGGCTGTCTGATTCAGGGAGACCTCTGCTAAACCATGTTCTCAGCTTGATGTAGTCTCTCATCTCTGGGCAGGCTAGTCCAGGTGTGTTCACATGGCACAGGTCCCAAGAGACCAAGCAGGAATCGAAAGGTTCCTTGAGGGCTCAGCTCAAAATTGACACACCATCACTTCCACCTCATTCTGTTGGCAAAAGCAAGTCATAAGTCCGGCCCAGATTCAGGAAATGACTCTGCCTCTTGACAGGTGACAATGTCACTTACAAATCAGGGTGGATACAGGAAGGGGAATAATTGCAGCCATTTTTGGAAACAGTCAACCAACCATTTGACAGATGAGATCCTTTACACTTGAAAGAAACACAACCTGACCTAACCACCCAGTTTTTAAATGGGGGAGCCAGGATTTGAACCAGATTCAGTCCGAATCTGAACCCAAGCTCTTAACTACTGTCCTCAGCTGGCTCTGAGTTTTCCCACACCAGTTTTTCTTCTCTCCATACATCTTCTTCTTGATGGTCTCAGTAACAAGTTTTTAATAGCATTCGCTGTCAGTGTACAAATAACTTGGCTTCCTTCAGGACTGGTTTTTCCTATAATTATTGGGCCAAGAGCTGGAGGTTTCATAAAAATGCATATTCTTGTGCCCACCTGAGACTTAGTTATAATTTCCAAGGAGAGATCTTACAAATACATTTTAAATAAACTCCTCTCCTGTGTGTACTAAATTTTGAGAACTCTTTCTTTAGAACTTTATTTAGCACTCTTTACTAATCCTCAGCGCCTTAGTGGAAACCCTACCAATTCTCAGCAAGACGCAGATCAGGCCTCCTTAAGGAAACAGAGGTTTTACCCTGTTGTCAAGCAGTAGTGAGAATAAATTCCCATCCTTTCTGTGAAACAACATCTATAGCTCTTTTATAACAATTCTGAAGTCATCTAAGATGGGGCTAAGGTTTACCACCCAAAAGCCTTGCATTATAAAATTGCTTACTGAGAAGGGAAGGTAGCCTGGGCTGTACTCTTCTTACTTCTGTGCCCATGGCCCAGCCTTGGCACTTGGTAGCTAAGAGCAGGGACCAATACTTATTTCACATTCAATGACTGTAGGGAGATCTCAGCTCTTACTTATCAGCCTAGATAAATAATTCCACTTTTAAGACCTACAGGGAAACAGAGAATTCATGAACTAAATCCCAGTGGTTTAAGAAATAAATGTACAGTTCAAAAGAGAGCTTATTTCCAAAGGTAAACTAAAGGAGGAAAAGGAATAGTGGTGAGCATATAAGGATCTGCTGTTTGCAAAAGACAGCCATAGAAATAGGTGTATGATCTGCTGTTAGGACATTGAGAAGATAGGACTAATGACCAGTTAAGCGCCAAATGCAATGAAGACGCTTGATAAAATGCCTATTTTTGGAAAATGGTGATGGTCCATTGGTTTTGACCCTCTGAATGCAGCTGCACACAGACTTCTATTTGTCCCTCACTTTCTAGAACCACCTCTTCAATTTGAAATGGAAACGAGAGGAATGCTTTTCCAGTGTCCATCAGATGAGACACATAAAAGCCAAACTAAACAACAGTGATTCCCACCCTAGCACACAACTCATCGGGATCCAGAGCTGGGGTTACTTTCAGTAAGACACAGGCATGCTTTTAATGTGGTCAGATCTCTAGAGCAAAACATTTAAAACCCAAAGTTGGATAAATATCCCCAGTAACATGTCAGAAGAAGAATGACAACTCAAACGCTTATAGAAGACAAGCAGAAAGTAACAGAGAAAAGTTGGCCACGTATAGACTCCAGAAAAATGTCCAAAGGACAAGTCAGACTCAGCTCCCACCATGGGTGCCTCAAGAATGTAACAGCCAACTGTGTTCTCTAAAGGAAAATCTTAAAATTGAAATCTTGTTTTAAGTTCCTGATCTTTTAATATTAGCCTCTAATTCAGTCTCTTCTTGAAATACCATGTAGGCCAATAAATGAATGAATGGATGGATGGATAGATAGATAGATAGATAGATAGATAGATAGATAGATAGATAGATAGATAGATAGATAGATAGATAGATAGATAGATAGATAGATAGATAGATAGATAGATAGATAGATAGATAGATAGATAGATAGATAGATAGATAGATAGATAGATAGATAATAAATACTCTATCTGTGGGCTGGATGCAGTCCTTGGGCTATCAGTTTGAAGCCCCATTAAATGAGTCAAATAAAATGCCTAAAAAACCTACTGAAAATTGGCATTTTAGTAATTACCAATGGAAAATTTGCTCTTTGCTATGCAAACAATTCATCTGATAACACCATGACTGCTGTTAAAGTTATCAATGGTAATTCATATTAAGACCTCAAGAACAGACCTATAACTCCATTGGAAAGTAGAAAGAGACAAAAACACAGCAGCCACCAGTCAGCCCGTTGCTAATCTCAGAGTTACATGCTGGGAAAACATGATTTACTCAGATTTTCAGCACCATCTGTGCTGTGATCATTCATTCCCATCGTCATAAAAATGAATTGCAACAGCAATTTTTCCCAAAAGAAGCTGAAGTTACTCTTAATTTGGATAAGAAACATATATAAATTCTGCCAAAAGCTATGCATTTTTCAAATAAAAGTCCCAATTAAGATTGACTTAAAGTAAACACATTTAATTTTGGTACTTCTTGACCTGAATTAATGAAAAAAATTATGTTTTTTCCATAGCATCTCTTTATTTAATTAGGGAACAAAAGAATAAAATCAATTATAGACTTTGAGCTAAAATGGGCTTAGAGAGCATTTTTTGACCCCTTAATTTTATAGAACAGGAAGCTGAAGTTTGACAGGAGTCAAATGGAGATCAATAATTAGGATTCCCCTTCCGTTCTGAAAGGAGAGGTGGAGTCTAGGAAACAAATTATCCCTGAAACACTTCAGTAGTTACTGCCTACCATACAGGAATGGAGTTTTGAGCACAGAGAGAAACAGACAGTTTTACAAGAGCAGCTTTCTTGTTATTTGTATTGACTGTAATAATTTTAATTCCATATGCTTCTAATTTTTCAAATTTCTACATACATTAGGTAACTTTGCAGCTCATAACCACCGCCTGAATTAGGTTGGCAAAGATATTTTGTTCACTTTTTAAGAAAGAAATTGAGGCCTATAAGGATATGTATATATGTTACATGAGACCACTTGGGTGATTACTGACTGAGCTGGGACCAGAATCCAAGTCTTTTGGCTCCTTTCCTATGCTAATGTTTTATTCATGCAACAAATATTTATTAAGCTCCTACTTTGTACCAGGTACTGGTGAACAAAGACTTTCCCTGCCCTTGTAGAGTGTTATCTCATGGAGTTGAATCTGTCACAAACCACTTTATGGAACAAACAGCTTTAGTCCTCATATTTATGTTAATAAGGTTCACGAGAACATTTTCTTTTTTTTTTTTTTTCCTTTTTGTCTTTTTTTTGTGATCGGCAATGGATCGCAACCCTCAGTGTCGTGCCCGTACCGGACCGGGACTGGCACCGGGATCGCAACCTTCGGTGTTGCTCCCGCACCTCGCTCAGCCAGTGAGCGGCCGGTCTGTATGTGGGATCCGAACTCTCGGCGGGAGCGCCGCCGCACTCTCAAGCGGCGCACTATAGCAGTGCGCTACCGGGCCGGCCCAGAACAGAACATTTTCTTAAGAAATAATCTGTGTCAGCTTATTTCCAAGGCTTAAAGCCGCTACTTGTTCTGTGCTACAGTAGAATATTTAAAGAAATGGTCTTCTCTACCGTCCTTTCAAAGTTATTTGCAAGAGGCATAGGGATGTGGCACCTCTAATATGTTTTAATTAAGACTTACAGAAAGCCCCTCATTGATTTGCCCAGGAAAATTAACACATGTGCTAGCCAAGCATAGTATCTTCTAAACCTTAGCAAGAAGATTAGGAGTAGGGCATTTTAGTAGGGTTTTTCTTCCTCCAAGACATTGCAAGAAAAGTTAAACACATTCAAGTATACATCAGTGTGTTACTCTCTTCCTGGGCCATATATAAAGCTTGGAGGAAAGGTTTATTGATTTAATTAATCTGAGTGGTGTCCCTTATCCCAAGTCGCTCTCTATGTATTATCATGGTTATTAAATAGTATAAATAGGTTTGTATGTCACTGTATTTTGAATAATGTATAACAGGCATTTGAAATATGATTTATATTAGATTACTTTTAATCCTAACAGATTTATGAAGTATCATCCCAAATATAAAGATGAGGAGATGGGGCCGGCCCGGTGGCGCACTGCTACAGTGCGCCGCTTGGGAGTGCGGTGGCGCTCCCGCCGAGGGTTCGGATACCACATACAGATCGGTTCCCACTCACTGGCTGAGCGAGGTGTGGGAGCAACACCGAGGGTTGCGATCCCATTGCCGGTCCTGGTCCGGTACAGGTGCGACACTGAGGGTTGCGATCCGTTGCTGGACATGAAAAAAGAAAAAAAAAAAAAAAAAAAAAAAAGATGAGGAGATGCCGAGAGGGTAGATGATTTGAGATGAGGAACCCATGTTCTTAACCCAGTGCCACATTGCAGAAGCTCTAAAATGTGTTTATAACACAAAGGTGCACACACTTTGGTAATGACTATATTTATGTTGGGTAATGATGGTATTCAAGATGTTCCAAAATGTGCCAGGTACTTAGAAATTATGTCACATGATGAAGTTATACAGAGAGTCCCGACTTACAATTTTTGACTTTCAATGTTGCAAAATCAGTAGGAATTCAGTAGAAACCATACTTTAAACACCCACACAACCATTGTTTCTCACTTCAGGTTCAGCATGTAATAAATTACATGAGATTTTCCACACTTTATTATAAAATAGGCTTTGTGTTAGAGGATTTTGCCCAACTATAGGCTGACGTAAGTGTTCTAAGCACATTTTAAGTAGGCTAGGCCAAGCTAAGATGTTCGGTAGGTTAGGTGTATTAAGTGCATTTTCAGCTTACAATATTTTTTAACTTACAGTGGGTTTATCAGGACATAACCCCATCATAAGGTGAGAAGCATCTGTATTTAGCATGTAAAAGAGAAGAAATATGGTGGCTGAATTTGGGTGTTTGAGAACCAATGTGTAGAAGGGGCAATAGACTGACTAGCAGAACAAAGATGAATGGCTGGAAACTCTATGGAGATATACAAGGGTACTTCAAAAAGTTTATCATAAGATGTGTATTATCATTTAATTCTATTTTTCCACAATTTTTTTTTAAGTACCCTTATATGTATAGAAGAAAGGACTTTGGGATGATTGGCACTGCCCACACTTGAGCAGGGATGCCTTTCGAGGTGGGCATGTTCATTAGACTGAGGCTAGAGAGGCCTTTGTTGGGGATGCCCTTGGATAAGAAACTCTTGTGTAAGATGGAATATTGGAAGTCTGCATAGTTCTCAGACGCGGTAACTCCTTGACTTTCCAAGCAAAGACTCTGGGAAAGCTGGTGAAAATTATGCTAGCCCAAAATAGTGTAAAATTTATCAACCACACTAAAAGCCCAATTCTTAGCTGCACCTTCTTGTTCAGGAGCACAGTACCATGCAGAAGTTACATTGCACGCAAGTTGACAAAATCGTGGCGCAGTACGACAAAGAGAAGTCGACGCATGAGAAGATCCTAGAGAAGGCAATGAAGAAGAAGGGGTAATACTGTTTATTTCCTTCTGAAGCTTTTCTCCATTTTTATATCTTGTCTTTTTGAATGAGTCAGCTGCCTTTTTAGGCCAAGAGAGAACTCAGTGTTGACTCAGTTTTCATCATTAAAAATTATTCTAGGAAAATAAGAGACTCACTTATTTCAAACAGTCTAATACCATAACCAGTCAGGGAGTCCAGTCATTTAAGGTTTAGGAAAGGTTCTCATCGGATTTACTGAAATCCTTTAATTCATTGTAATTAGTTCTAATATGAAAAAGAAATATTAGCCACAAATAATTGAAAAAAAATACTTTTCCACTGTAAGAATTGATTGTAACTTTTTATTTTGAAATAATTTTAAACTTACAGAAAACTTGCAAAAATAGTACAGAGAGTTCCCCTTATACCCTTAACTCACCTTCCCTAAGTCTTAATATCTCATGTAACTGTAGTTCAATTATCAAACCAGGAAATTGACATTGGTACAATCCCATTAATTAAACTACTGTGCTTTTTCAAATTTTATCAGTTTTTCCACTAATGCTCTTTTTCTGTTCTGGGATCCACTCTAGAATCACACATTACATTTAGTTGTCTCATCAGTCTCCTCCAGCCTCTGATGATTCCTTCATTTCTCCCTGTCTTTCATGACTTTTTTACTTTTGAAGAGTACCGGTCAGTTATTTTGTAGGATGTGTCTTCCTTTGGTTTAGTCTGATATTTTCTCATGATTACAGTGAGGTTATGCATTTTAGGTAAGCACACCACAGAAGTGAAGCTGCTTCCTTCTGAGCGCATGATTTTGGGGGTACGTGATGTTAATATTTATGTGTCTCATCGTTGGTGATGTTAACCTGAATCTTTTGGCTAAGGTGGCATTTGACCAGTTTTGCACTGCACAGTTACTGCTTTTCTCTTTATAATTAATAAATATCTTGGGGAAAATATGTGATGCTATGCATATATTCTATTTATCTGAGAAATTATCTTTTGGCCTAGCTTTGTCCTCCTTCAGTGGATTCCCTCTGGTTTTTATCTCCTTTCTCAAATCCCTGTTGATATCTTCTAACTTTCCACAGTCTTTAGTGTGAGAGAAGAGAAAAGGATGAAGGAATTACATCATTTTCCTACTTGTTTTTTGTTTTTTGTTTGGACATTCATTCAAGATATACCTAGAAAACTAAGGCTGTGAAAACAGAACAGATTAAATTTGTTTATTTTCTTGGACATCCTTTCTTATTGCTGAAATTTCAGGTCCCAAGATCCAATTTCATGACATGAAACCAATGTAATTTGCTTGAGGAATAAGTGGTGGGTAATTACATATACCCACCCTGATCTCAGGCCTCGCTATTTGAGAGATGGCTTCATTTTTATTAAAGTGATATTTTTTTAGAAAAATACAAACCAGGCAGTAACTATTGAGCATTCGTTATTACATGCCAGTACAGTCTGCCCTTTATTTTCCTCATCGTTTTCACTGTACCACTGAGGCAGAAACATTGCCCGTTACTTTGACATTTTGATAAGTATTTTACATGAGTGAGCCAGGCAAAGCTCAGCAACCCATTTCGTGGCTCATGTGGCAATATCGATGGTAATAATCGTTTTAATGAGCTATGACTCTTCCAGACTTCTGTCCACCTCAGCAGCTTTGGTATTTTTTTTTTCCACTTAATGACATTTTAGACCAAAATGTTGAAAGAGCATAGTAGACATAGACCCTAACACCATGTTTTTAGGGAGCAGATTTTGACAACTTTATGGTACTCTTCAAGAATAAAATTTTTATTCACAAGTCACCTCTTCAAAAAAATGTTTTATGTATTTTCGTGGATGGCTGCATTGAAATTTTCTTTGCATGTTTTTAACCAAACCAAAAATATTTATTTAGGAGATTTCAGACTCAAGCACCATAAGGAAGTTTCTTTGCTAAAAACATTACAATTTTCTAAATCAATAAATCGTAAGTGCTACATTTAGAAATCAAGAATGGATAAAAGATATATTTACTTCATTATTATTTTTACTCTCAAAGGTAAATTGGGGTCAAAAGGGTAGTTATTGTAAGTTGTTCCTGGTGAGACACTTAGCCCCTTACTCAGACTATTGAGCAAACTCACAGGTCTCTCACCAAATAAAGCCTTATTTTATCCTAAGTGTAGATAAAAACTCTAACCTACAGATTTCTTCCTGAGTCTGTACTGTCAGATTCAACACTACCTTCAGGCTCTCCACAAAGAGAATTTCCCAAATACTTTAAGCAATCAATGTTTTAACAATACATTAACAGTTACTCCAAAATCGGACATCAAATACTTCCTTCTGTTCAGCCATATCTGAGGAGAGTTTCTCATTGTTAATACTAACCGTGCTATCCAGATTGCCTAGAATTCTTACTCCAACCAAGTTGCTAAAAAGTCAGTAAAAAGGGAAACTGGCTAGAGACTTTGGGGGTTTCTTAAGCAGGATCCATTTCTAAAACAAAAGGTTTCCTTTTATTCTTACCAACTCAACTGAAGGGGATGGAGGATTGAAGTGGAAAAGAGGAAATTTATTCAAGTGCTCTCCAGCTGTTGTGTGTCGCATGTGTTTTCCACTCAAGTAGCTGTAAGGTGATGGGGAGAAATGAATGAGGGAGAAGGGAGGACAAGATAAAGCTGGGAAAATTCAAAATTACAGAAATTATTTTGTACAATCAGAAAATAAGTAGTAATGTTGATGTGCTAGAAGAAAAAAATGCACTCTTGATTTTCAATATCCCAGGAGTCCTTAGCTTAGGCCAACAGATAAGACTACTGAATAAAACCTATCATTCTATTTACGGTGAAAGATTCTGGCTAGAATTAAGCCAGAGGACTATTTCAGCTACAAGCTCACTAAAAAAACAGAATAGAGAAGAAACATGCTCCGTGCCAGCCATTGAGAAGTGGTTGGTTTGATGAGAGACCTAGCATTTTTAGAGTAATGTTTCTTTCAGAGGAGCTCTAAATTAGTAATATAATGAAGCATTCTGACTTGGGCTATAATAAACCAGAGCACATATGCAGAAACCTGTTCTTGTTTCAGCAGTGCTGTGGATCTTCCAGAAGGAAAACATAATCGCTGAAATAAGCTGTAATGGTCGCTGGGCAATTGCCTATTATATATTTCCTATTTACAACAGAATAAGAGGCAAAAATTACCCTGTGATGCCAAGAAATGCTATTTTCTCACTCCTTGGCATGTTTAAAATACAAAAATCTGGCTTTACAACCAAAACAGAAGAATTAAAAATTCAGTTCAAGGCTGAGGACCTATTTTCCAGTTTTCATCCCAAATAATATTTTATTGAATAAAAAAATAGCTTGAGGAAAAATAGGAACCAAAATGGAAACTCTGACAACAGACCCTTAACAATGAAATAATTGTTAGGTCCAAAGTGTTTCCTTGTGTTGTGATTGAATTGAGCCATCATGATACTGAAAATATTTTGTAAGGTGTGAGTCTATTACCAGAAAATCTGATGTTGCCCAGTGAGCTGTGGCATCCCACGTTTGATGAATCTGTTGTCTTCATCAGAAAGCCGTGTAGCAGGGGCCCGTAGGAACGGGAAGGTATCTAATTTCCGGCATGCATTTGCAACTTTCCATTTTCAGGGGAAGTAATTGTCTCGAAATGAAAAAAGAAACAGAAATTAAAATTCAGACACTGACATCAGATCACAAATCTAAGGTAAGGAAATGCCTATTTTTATAGCAATGACTTGCAGGAGACACTTTGTAAGGTTTTAGAAGGGGTCCCTAGTATAAATCAGAAATGACAATAACCTGGGGCTGCTCTGAGAAGTCAGGAGATCTGAGGGTTCATGTTTGCCCATGACTCACTGGCTTTTGGAAGAGCCATTTTATGGAACGTATTTTTTGTCCTGTTTTTAGAAATATGCTAATAATATTTACGTTGTCTGCCTTAGAGGAATCAATTGATATAATAAGTAAAGAGACTCACAGGAAATACTGTATAAAATACAGAATATTCTTCCCTATTGAAGTAATATTTACCATGACAGAAGAACACCCAAATTAGAGGTTGAGTAACTGTTTGATAGTTACTCTATCCTAACTTTGCTGTGGCAAAGAAAAAATCAAGGTGAGAAACAGTCAAGACTTGGTATTCTAAGGGATGAGCCTAATTACTCACATTTACCCAAAGACAGGAGAAAGTAGGAGCTCGAGAAATCTTAATTAAGTTTGTTGACATTTGGAGAACTAAGCACTAAGTCCCAGTCAAGAACACAAACAATTCTTCCAGCAACAATAGTTTTTTTAAAAAAACCAAAAAACAAAACTCTTAAAGTAAGCTCCCAACTACAGCTTTTGGTCAAACCAGCCAGCATCCATATGTTTATATGCAGCTCTGTCGTCCAGCCCAATGACCTTGCCATGTACATGGACCAGCCAAGCTGTTCAAGATAAAGTTCTTGGCCATACATATTTTGTATGGCATGAACTCTATAGAGGCAGTAAGCCATGTGTCTTAGAGAGCCGTCCCCACTCTCTCTCTTCTTAACTGGCATGTTTGAGAACTAGTGCTTGTGCAGCATGCCATGATTTTTAGATGCTTTGCATAAATAGGAAAGAAGGAACCTTGGTAACAGTATCAGTTTGCTTTTGTTGCATAATAAACTATGCCAAAATTTAGTGCCTTAAAACAGCCACCATTTATTAGCTCACAGTTCAGTGGGTCAGAAATTTGGGCTGTACTCTACTGGGTGGTTCTTCTACTGATTTTGGCTGGGCTCTCTCTTGTATCTGCAGTCAGCTGGTCTTTGATGGCCTCATTCACGTATCTGGTGGCTGGCTGGCTGCTGGTTGTTTTTTCCTACGTGACTCTCAACCTCCAGCAGCCTAGCCCAGACTTAGTCACAGGGTAGCCTCTGGGTTCCAAGCATAGCAAATGTGATGCTCTGCTTACATCCCATTTGCTACTGTCTCATGGGCTAAGGCAAGTCGCAAATCAGTCAGATTCAAGGAAGTGGAGAAATAAACTCTAGCTCTTGGCAAGAGGAGCTACAAATTCACATTGCCAAGAGTGTGGATACTGGGAGGGGAGGATTTTCTACCCCAGCATCTATTAGGTTTGATGCAATAAGGCATGATCCAGGAATAAGAGAACACACAGCTCTCTATTCAGACCTGTGGCCTTATGTAAGGAAAGCCAGAAAAGCACAAGGTGATGAGGAGAATTCTGATGTAATCAGTAAAGGAGCCCAAGGGCCCGACTAACCAGAGTGTGGGCAAGTTAGGCAGTGAAATAACAGGTCATGATTAAATATTTGGAGCCAAAGTGATTGATTTATTTTAATAAGTAATGACTTCCTGATTCCCATTGATTCATACACATGATTTTTTGCAGGTTATAGGCATCTACTGATTTGCCAAGTAAATTGGTGGGAGGGGTCAGAAATGCATGAATAATATAATGCTTTCAGTTCATTCCTGCCCTGTCAGGACTCCAGGTGGCACTATCCCCCTTTCCCCAAACAGGTCAAAGAGATTGTGGCACAACACACAAAGGAGTGGTCAGAGATGATCAACACCCACAGTGCTGAGGAGCAAGAAATCCGGGACCTGCACCTGAGCCAGCAGTGCGAGCTGCTGAAAAAGCTACTAATCAATGCCCACGAGCAGCAGACCCAGCAGCTGAAACTGTCCCATGACCGGTAGGAGAGTCATCCATCCCCAGAGTAAACTCCTGGTTTTTTTAAAAAGCCTGATTTTGTGTGATGTGTGAGCCAAGGTAATAAATAAAATCAAATTGACATAATATTAAGCTCATGTATATATATGTGTGTGTGTATATATATATATATATATATGTATCTTATCATACAGTTAATGTAAGCAAGATGAACTGTAAAAGAAATGACCTCT